CAATCCTAATAGTTGCCAGATGCTGTTACCAGAGATCATATCTGTCTTGTTTCCAATTGTGCCTGGGACATAATAGGACTTTTTTTTTTTTTTTTAAATAACAAAGCCATGTGTAGTGCAGCATGCCTGTTCTAGCTACCCAGGAGGCTGAAGCTCAGCAGTTCAAGTCCACCCTGGGCAACAAGACTCCATCTCTACAACAAAAAAGTTTAAAAAGATTACTATATGATTACTATACACTGTATGTATCAAAATATTACTCTCTCCCATAAATATGTACAATTATTATATATCAATTAAAAGGAAATAAATGGTGAGCATCCTTTCACTATGAAGAAAAGTTCTGAGTACCATATGCCCCTACCGTCTTCTGTTTCATTTTTATGGAGACCTCTAAACAAAATGCTTTTCTTGTAGATATGGAGGGAACCCTAAACAGGTTTTCTACTTGAGAAAATCTTGATTTGAACTCCACACATCATACTCCATTGGGCAAAAAGCCTTGCATTTATATTAGAGAATATAGTCCAGAAAAAGAACAAAACCTCAAGTGTGGGCAGAAGATTGTGTTTATTTGCTGTTAGGGAAGAAAACTCAGGTTCCTTTTCTCTACAGTGACCATTAGACATTCCAAAGCACTGTCAGTTGGTATATCTCAGTGGTCTTGGTTACTGAAGCAACGAGCAGTCTGTGATGGCAAAAAAAAAAAAGGTAGGGTCTTTCCTAACACTGGTAAGGAGAAAACTCTGTACAGAGTTAATAATTTACATTTCAAGTCACAAGTTTTCTATCCTATTGGAAGAAGTTTCTAAAATCCAAAAAAAGCAACGTCTCTTTTTTTTTCCTCCAGTCATTCATTCACCCATTCAACAAACTTTTACTGGGCTCATGGTTTGTCAAGTATAGAAGAGAAAAGAGGACGAATCCTGTGGTTAAGGCTTGCCTGAAGGATCTCACATTTGGGTTGGGGGCTGACATGCCAGTGAACAAATCGCCTCCTCAGGACTGTGACACATGCTATGATAGACGTATTTACCAAGAACTATAAGAGGACTGTATATGAAGTGTTTAGGGATCTGAGAAGTTTCAAAGAAATTGTGGCATTTGAACTAGATATCAAAGAATAAGGCTCAGGTACAACTTCATGTGAAAGAGACAATATATTCACAAATTTGCCAAAACCAGGTTAACTTCATTCTTCCAGCGTTCCAGTTTTTTCCCAAGTACAATCAGTGTACCATTTTTTCTGAGACCCAGAGCCATTTTCTTTCATTGGCATGTTTTTAGGCTTATTTTTCAGTAACTCCAGTACCCCTGAAGTTTCTTTCCTTAGATCTTAAACAGATACATTCAATTGGGCATTACTACATGGTTTGAGGATAATGTCTTTATACAAAGGTAATATATGCACTTGGTAAGAGAATGAATATAAAATGAAAAGCAATAATCTACCACTGCCCCACCCAGCAGTCCCTTTGTCCAGCCATAAACAGAAAATAACAGAACTGTACTCATTTCGAAACTGTACACATCATTCTACTCTTTGCCTTTTCTACTTATCTGTTTAACTTAGAGGTACTTCTTTTTAATAGTTAACTAGATCTCTGTATGGATGTGCCATAAGTTTTTAGCCATTCCTTTATTGATAATTGAATTGGATTATACTTTCATTATTGTAATTATTGCTGCACTGAACATCCTTGAAATGATTGTGTGGGTACAGCCATAGGATAAGTTCCTAGCAAGGAATTGCTGAGTTAAAGAATGTGTGCATTTAAATATTCATAGATACTGCCAAATTGCCTTCTTAAACTGTACTACCTTATACTACCACTCAACATTTATGAGTATATTTCCCTGCCCCTTTTGCCAGTTTTTGATTATTAAACTTACTAGTTTTATCACTGCATTAATATCTGATAATTGTTGATTTGTACGTAAGGTTTGAGTGATTTTTTTATACATTGGTAATCTGCATTTCATCTTAGCCAATTGTTTTTAATAGTGAATTACTAGGGTTTTTAAAATTTATAAACTCTGAATATTGGCTTAGTTTATATGTATTAGAACTGTTATGATTATTTCGTACTTAAGTTGTTTTTTTCCCCACACAAACCAATTAATCTTTTCTTAGTGCTATTGAATTGTGTGTCTTGCTCACACCAAGGTTTATTTATAATATGTTATCCTCTTACTTTCATAGTTTCATTTTTTGTGTTTATATTTTTGATCTGTCCAGAATTTATTTTCTTATATGGAGTGAGGTAGGAAAATGGCTACCTGTTTGTTGTAATACACTTTATTTGATGATCCTTTCTTTCAACATTTATTTTAAATCACCATTACCACATATTTGAGTATCAGTTTGTGTGTAAACTGTATTCTGGTCTGCTTATATGCCTATTTCTTCTGCAGTACAATGTTTTAATGATTTCAGATTCGTAACACTTAATAACTGACAGAATGAACTACCTAAACATTTTGTACAGACACTGTGGCGGATTCAGCTACATATCATGGCATTATGCCACGAATCCTTTCCAGCATTATTGGCAGAAATAGCCACCCTTAAAATATTCCCCTCATGATCCTCAGAGGTTCCAAGGGTACAGTGTCATGTGTACCCAGAAATGGGTTGCCCTCTTGCCCATTCCTGGGCTGCCTCCTAGGGACAGTGACTCCAGTTAACTTGCTACTTCAATAGGCACTACCATCTTCTGCTGGTGACTTCTGTCATCTTGTTTGACCCTGGGGAAAAGACTTACCTTCCTCTTTGTTGCCCACAGTAGAGACCAGACTTTCCTGACTTGTTCCCGAATAATGAAAGAAAGGGTCCAGATAGTACTTTATGAGAGCGGCCAAGCCCCCGTGGAATCCTTTCAGCCCTTACCAGGCTAGTGCTCTGCCTTCTTTGCTACCTGTTTCCAGGTCCCCAAAGGTAGTTCAGCTACCCCACTAGAAACCTTCAGTTATCAGCACTTCTTTAGAATTGGAGTCAAACTGACATCTGCACTAAAAGAAATGAGGAAGGTTCCCCCTCACCTGAGTCTAACACTCTCAACACCCTCCTCCCAAAATTCCTGCTGAACCAACCTCTCCCCTGGGAAACTGACAGTGAAAACATTTAGTCTTTTCAGAGGAAATTACATCTTTACTCAGAGAAATGTGGTCTGGATTTTGGATTTGCAGCCCAATAAGAAAATTGCCTAATGATATCAGGCCCTTCATATCTGTGGGTTCCACATCCATGAATTCAGCCAATTGTGCATCAAAAATATTCAATAAAAAATATGACAAAAATATAAATACAGTATAATGGTTATTTACATAGCATTCACATTTTATTAGGTATTATAGAGATTAAGATTTAAAGTATGCAAGAGGATAAGCATAGGTTATATGCAAATACTATACCATTTTATATAAGATATTTAAACATCCGAGTTTTGGTATCAGAGGGGGTCCTGGAACCAGTACCCCAAGGATACTGAGGGACAACTGTCTATTTCACAGACTGTATTGTGTTTTTGTTTTTTTGAGACAGAATCTTGCTCTGTTGCCCAGGCTGGAGTGCAGTGGCGCAATCGCAGCTCACTGCAAGCTCCCCTCCCGGGTTCATGCCATTCCCCTGCCTCAGCCTCCCGAGTAGCTGGGACTACAGGCGCCCGCCACCATGCCCGGCTAATTTTTTGTATTTTTAGTAGAGACGGGGTTTCACCATGTTAGCCAGGATGGTCTCGATCTCCTGACCGCATGATCCGCCCGCCTGGGCCTCCCAAAGTGATGGGATTACAGGCGTGAGCCACTGCGCCTGGCCGTCTGTATTGTTTTTACAAATGGGGCAGCAACCAAACCCAAATGAGGCTGCATCAGGCTCAGCCCTGTTCCTGTTTTGTCTCCCTGCACTAAGGGTTTCAAGCATATCTTAGGGCTGTGGTCAGCTTGTTAACCGAATCAGCCTTGAAACCTAACAGAATGTGACTTTACAAAAATTTCCTCATATTATGTTCTTTTTTAAAACTAGCTCCTTACAAATCGATCTTTATTTCAGAAATGGAAGGGGGAAAGGAATGGGGGAAATACTAAGTGAAATCACCTGTATTTTCTTAGGGACCCTAACTTAGACGTGACCAGCTATTTCTGAGATTCTTAAGTAAACTGTTTTTTCTATCTGAAAGTCTGACAGTCTTTGCCATGTTAAGCTATTTCATGTCTTATACTTAGACCCACCTCAGGCTACTTGGACAAATGCTCAAATAAATTGACCAAATGAAAAACGTGTTCAGAGGTTGAGTGACTTGGAGTAAGAACAAGTGAAGCAGAACTGAGTGGTGGAACTCAACCTGCGTCTGAAGTTTCAAAACACATCAAGTCTAGTCTTTTTGTATTTTAATAATATACAGACTTAGAGGGTGGAAAGAGATTAAGTGTTATGTGCTCATAAAATCAATTTATAAGTGACCTCATTATAGGGTCAGTCACCTCAAGATAATATAAGTTCATGATTTACTATATTAATGTAACCTTTGCTATGTATTAATCAGTATAAATTTATAATTCAGTAGTCTACAAATCCTAAACTTAAAGAATATTTTCTGAATTTGCTCTTTGATTACTCCACATCTCTGCATAGAATTTTCTGACACTCACTCATCAGGATGTGTTTATAAAGGGTTTTCTTTCTTCCTCTTCACATCTAAATGATACAGAATTACCCAAACTTCCTGTTGCTACTGAACTGAAGCAAGGGAAATTGAAACTGAAAATGTGAACCAGCGACTTTACCCAGAAGCACAGTTGTTGGCATCAATGAGATTATTTTTTAATGAAATTAAAGAAAGTAGAGGTTTCCTTTCAACTGACACTGTTTTTCTCCAGACTACTGTGCGGCAGGATGGTAGTTGTTTCCTCTCAAGGGAGCTAAAAATTAACTTCATCCTATGGCATGATGTATTAAAATCAGGAATGTTCATGGTAACTTTCTCTTTCATCTCTCCAATAGGTAATCTCTCTTAAGATCCAACCCAAGCTATTCCCTATATACAAGGTCAGCAAGCATTTGATTCATTTTGTCAGCTTTAATATAAATCAAAATCACCCCCAGGAGGCTGAGGTGTGGTAAAACACATAAAATTCCCTGTTGCCCTAATAGCCAGTCAGTCACCCCACTCTTTCATATGGGAAAGAACACCAGAAGCAATTTGACAAGTAACAATCGGGCTTCTAGAGACATGGACAATTGCTGTTAACTCTTGACTGTTTTGACAACATTTTAGAGCTATCTTTTAGGAATATTAGCCTCCCCCATTAACAAAACAGAGGGAAAAACTCATTCCTCAAGGACATCACTCTTCATTTAGTTCAACAGTTTGGATGGAGAAGGGAGATATATCTTGAGGGAACACAAGTACATTGATCCCATTTTCTACCTCACTACATTGCTTGCAGGAAGAGGTCAGCAACTTGGTTCATCCCTTTTTTTTCTGCTTCAGTATTTTCGTTGTGTCAAAGTAACCAGAGTTACTTACTTAAATTGCATATTGCATTTCCCCATAATTTCCATTGAATAAAATTTAGGTGTACACTTAAGCTTGCTGTAAACATGCAAGTGAGTTGGGAGAAAACACTACCATTAGAGAAGTGGAAAAAGACCAACCCCCTACTCCGTCACCACCAGTCAGGTCTTGAGTGAAATCTCCCACTTACTATTACATATTACTCTCACAGAGAATAAACACCATTTCTTTCAGTAAGGATCTTCTGATCAGTCATTATGAAGGGAGGACTAGCCAGACTGAGGGTGTGGTGAGGAACTAGGGGAAGCACAGACAGAAGAAACTGCTTTGACAGGAGAAGCAACTTTGAAGTGTTGCTTAGTCCAGGCTCTGACTTAGGGTTTGGTTTTTTTGAAGTCTTTGTCATTAACCCTTCCCTCACTTTCCTTCTACTCTTCAAGTCCTATTCTTACATTCGTAAGAATGACTTATTTTTGCCCCCAGGTATTTTGCTGGTCCTGGGATTGCTGAGAGGAAAAGATATAATCCTGCCCCCAGGAACTCAGTGTATAGAGATGGCTCCTCCAACTTAACTATTACAGAGAGCTGATGATACTTTTCAGACATGTCAATCCAAAATGACCGATTAAGGATAAGGACTTGGAAGTAAAGAACATATCTCAGAGACAACAAATGCCCATTCACCAAAGATAAAGCCATGAACTGTCCAGGGCGAATGAGCTTGCCGTTTGGAGGCTAAGCTTTACGTGGTAATTTGTAGAGTTTGGGGGAGGTCACTCAGTAACTTCTGTAATGAAAAGTTTTGTGGCAGCCAAGCGCAGTGGCTCACGCCTGTAATCCCAACACTTTGGGAAACTGAGGTGGGTGGATCCCTTGAGCCCAGGGGTTTGAGACCAACCTGGGTAACAAGATGAAACCTCATCTCTACTAAAAATAAAAAAAATTAGCCAGGTGTGTTGGCATACAGCTATAATCCCAGCTACTTGAGTGGCTGAGGCATGCTAATCAGTTGAACCTGGGAGGTGAAGATCACAGTGAGCCAAGATCGCGCCACTGCACCCCAGCCTGCGCAACAGAACAAGACTCTTGTCTCAAAAAGATAGAGTTTTATTGGTAGTATTTGTTCTCTATTAAGCCCTTCTATTGAGTTCTTGATTTCATTTATCAAATTTTTCAATTCTAGAATTTCCATTTGGTTATTTTTTTATATTTCCAGGTCTCTGCCAGTGTTCTCAATTTTAATTTTTATTTCCTTAAACATTTTAAGCATAATCATTATAGAATCCATGTTGGATAGTCATATTATCAAGATCCCCTATTGGTCTAGGTCTATTGTCTTATTTTTTTGGTATTCAGTTACATTTTCTGGTTATTTTTGGTTGAATTCTATCTTTGGCAGGAATATGTCAGTAGCCTTTTGAATAGGATAAATGAATCTGTTACACCTTATGGAAGCCATAAAATCTATGCTGCCCCACATGGTGGCAATACACAACTGAAAATCTAAGAACCCCACCGACCTTCTGCTGACCAACATCATAGTGAGGTAAAGAAGTCTCTGCAAAGAGTTTAGCAAAGGATTATCCTTAAAGAATCAAATGAGATTGTAACCAGTTCATCTTGCCTGCTGCCCAGATACAGCCAATTTTTAAAGACAGGAAAGTGCAATAGAGAAAGATTTTAATATGCATAGAGCCAGTTAAATAGGAGACCAGAATTTTACTATTATTTAAATCAGCCTCCCCCAAAATTTGGAGGCTAGGGTTTTTTAAAGACAGTTTGGCAGACATGAGTTAGTTCCTGGGTAGGGGCCGTAAGACCAGATGAGTCAGTTTACCAGTCTGGGTGGTGCCAGCTGATCCATCAGAATGCAGGGTCTAAAAAATATCTCAAGCACCAATCTTAGGTTTTACAATAGTAATGTTATCTATAGGAGCAATTGCGGAGGTTAGTAATCTTGTAACCTCTGGGTTCATGACTCCTGAGTCATAATTTTTAATCTTGTGGCCAATTTGTTGATTTTACAAAGGTGGCCTGGTCTCCAAGATACATTTTACCCAAGATGTAATATCACAGGAAACCAGAACCTTCCACTCACCTCTCATACACAACTGGCTTTATTAGTTTCCCACCACATTCAAGAGCACCTGATGCCCTAAACTGTTTAAGGTTGAGTTAAGGAGTGCTCTTTTCAAACTATCCCAACTTCCATGAAAACCAAAGGTATCAGAAGACCTAGAAAATATCTATAGAATTGGATATCTTGGGACATGAAACAAGTGGATACTTACATATGTGAATCTCACGTGTCTTAATATCCAGACTGATTCCACCTTGTCCTATTCTTACATACTATATATTTTTCTCTTGGGAAGTTTTCTACTACTAGCTTAGCATCAGCATGTCAGTTTGAGTCAAATTAACACTTTAAAAGATCCCCACTGGAGGTCAGTGAGTCAGGGCACCTGCTGCTTTACAGAAGGGCCCAGTTACAACCTGAGGAATAGCACTTCATCAGAGCTACCTCTCCAGGCCACATTCCCCACTACCCCAACCAACCACTCAGGAGAACTAAGATGGATTTGTGAGGAATAATTTCCTTGAGCCATTTTTCCAAAGATAGGCATTCTTAAATGGTATTCATTTGAACTTTGACACAACGCCATTATTTTGTAAATGCCATATCCTGGATAACTAACTATGGCTGACAATCTACCCCTCATCACGACTGTGCTCAAATGCAGATACCTCTAGTGCATCATTGAACAAAATGAATTTCACATACTTAAGGCCTCTCTGAAATTTTCACCTTTCAATTGTTCACTTTTGGAACTTTTTTTGCAGGGATGAAACTGAAACTTTAAAAAGAAAAATTGAAGCTTGTGATGGGATTCTAAAATCTAAACAATTTACTTTCCAATCTTATTTTAAACTGTTAGATCATTTGCCCATTTATTACCAACATGAAAACAGACATGTGCGCATGGACACAAACAGGCACACGTGTTGAAGGCCTCTAGCAAACAGTCTATACTCAAGGTTGATGAGACTTGTTCAATTCTATTGCTAGCCACAGATGAGCATACAGGAAGGTGGTAGGACCCAGGTATATCCGACCCACAGCCTGTGGGCTGCATGTGGCCCAGGACAGCTTTGAATGTGGCCCAACACAAATTTGTCAACTTTCTTAAAAAAAATTCTTTTTTTAAGCTCATCAGCTATTGTTAGTGTATTTTATGTGTGGCCCAAGACAATTGTTCCATTGTGGCCCAGGGAAGCCAAAAGATTGGATACCCCGTAGTACCTTTGACATTGACGCCTATGGGGAAATGGAGGGAGCAGAATTGGGTAGAGGGAGAAGCTGGACCATTAAGCAGTCCTAGCAAAGGCCTAAGCCAGTTCCTCAGGGAAACTGTGCAGCCAGGATAGCCCTTCAGTCTTGTTCTACTTGAGTCTGTCCTTGCTACCCCAATATTTACCAGTCATTGGAGGAGGACTGACCTTGGACAAGGTAGGAGGGAGGAGCCATGACCTTGGACAAGATGGCTCTCACCAACTCCTCTTAATTCCCTAAGACCTCAGCTGAGGGTCATCAGCTGCCAACACTCCCAGCAGCTGAAGAATGGGTGCCTCAAACTTGAAGTGGGGACTGGCCCACATACCACAGTGTTCCCTATAGAATGACAGTTTTTAAAAAAAGTGACCATGAAGCTCATCTACAGCTTCTGTCTTCAAACCTGTAATTTTTTTCATTTTGGTTTTTCAAGATTATCCCAGACTCTCCCATTTCCAGTAGATTTCTTTGTGCTTTGATTTTTGTTTGGTCGTTTTTCTTTTTTCTATTTCTATTTTGAGACAGGGTCTCACTGTGTCACCCAGGCTGCAGTGCAGTGGCATAATCATGGCTCACGACAGTCTCAAACTCCTGGGCTCAAGAGATTCTCCCACCTCAGCCTCCTGAGCAGCTGGGACCACAAGCATGTGCCACCATGCCCAGCATTTTGAAAAAATTTTTTGTAGACATGGGGTCTCCTATGTTGCCCAAGCTAGTCTCAAACTCCTGAGCGCAAACAATCCTCCTGCCTCAGCCTCCCAAAATGCTGGGTTTACAGGCATAAGCCAGTGTGCCTGGCTTGATTTTCAATATTTAAAAAATTCCAATTTGAAGATTGAAAAGCAGACTAAAATAATATTGGCCTAAGAACTGCCAAAAAATTCTCTGGACAACTACAAGGTATTCCTTGCTCCAAAACAGTAATTTCAGATCTGCCAGAACCAATCTGGGCTTCTGTGAAAAGGAGAATTGAGCTTAGGAAGGAGGGAAGTGGGTGGCTGCCAGTGCAGTGTGATTGGAGTGGCCGTGGAAAGATTTCCCAGACCTATCTGCTCTGAAATCATCTTTATTCATGACAACTTCTGAACTCCAGAAGTGCTTACCTGTCAGTGTCACTCACCCATCTCCTCTTGCTGTTTTTCATTTTGTGTCTAACTGAAATCCTAGGCTTGAATACCTGAGGCCCCAAACCTCTCAAGGTCAGGTCAGCCTGCTATTCGTCTATGTCCATGGGACCCACAAATGCAGCAAGTGAAATTGCCATCATTCCTGCGCCTTGGTTTTTGCCCAACATAGGATATGATTATACCTACATGGAGCTGCAGTGAAAGGCATGATATGTGCTAATACTTCACCTGGAGATTGGTAATTACCAGCTGATAAGATTGAAGGCTGAATGAGAGCCACTGGGGGAAAAGGGTGCTGAACAGGGAAGTGGACAAACAGCTATGGTAGGCAGAATTTCTGAAAATGCCCTCAGGGATGTCCCATCCTAATCCTCAGAACCTGTGAAGATTGAGATATCACTTCCATGATTATGTTATAAGGTACAATTAACCTTAGGATAAGGAGTGTGCTTGCATGGGCCTAGTGTAATCACATAAGCCTGTAAAATTAGCTTTTCCAAAGAGGGGCAGAAGTTAAAGAGTTGCTGCTTTGAAGATCGAGGGGACCACATGAGAGGCAATGTGGATGGCCTCTAGGAGCAGAGAGAGGACCCCAGCTGACATACAGCAAGAAAACAGGGACTTCAGTCTTAAAACCACAAGGATGGAATTCTGCCAATATTCTCAATGAGCTTGGAAGTGGATTCTTACTCAAGCCTCCAGGGAAAAGCCCGACAATACTTCAATTTTGGCTTGTGAGACTCTGAGTATAGAACCCAACCTATCCTGCCTGGAGTTGTAACCTACAAAAGTGTGAGATGATAAACTGGTGTCGTTTTAAGCTGCTAAGTTTGTGGTAATTTGTTGCTGCAGCAATAGGGAACTAGTACAGTAGCCAAGACAAACAAGTCTACTTGTCACTATTTTTGAAAAACACTTTCTTTGGAAGAAACTGGAATCTGCCTCTAAAACCATCTGGCATCTGGCATAAGGGGAAGGCAGACTGAGATCCAAAACTATTATGTGCTGGCTTGAGCTTCAACTTTATGTATACCAAACCATTTATACCTCACACTTGCCCTCTGTGACAAACACTACACTATTATCCCAATGTTATCTCCATGGGCTTCTAACTGCTGTTCGGAGAAATGAAATGATTGGTCCAGTAAGTTCTCAATCCTAGCTGTGCACCAGAATCACCGAATCACCTGAGGTTTGCTTTGCTTTGTTTTGTTTTTAAGCTAATGAGCTTTTAGAAAGTCATGATGCTGAGGCCTCAACCCTGACCCACTGAATCAGGGAGGCCCAGACCTCTTGCACTTATGAAAGCTCCTGGATGATTCTGATAAAACCCAGATGTTTGGCAACCAGTGGTTTAAAGTGTGGTTAATGGACACCAGCATCAGATGCCCACAGGGTGGTGGTAGCCACTGATATTGTGTCCCTAACAGCCATCCTCTACTACCTCACTTACAACAGGACCTCAGGTGTGCTCAGATGGCCACATGCCTGGCCAAAGGGTACAAAAACCATGGTTGTCTCAATTTTCAGCTCTAGTCATGTTATCACATTTCTCTTTCCCAATACCATCCTGTGAAGGTTAATTTCATGGAGCAACTTGACTGGCCATGGGGTTCCCAGATTAAACATTATTTCCAAGTGTGTCTATGAGAGTGTTCCCAAATAACACTAGGATTTGAATCAACAGACTCAGTAGATTGTCCTCCCCGACATGGGTAGGCATCATCTAATCTATTGAGGGTCTCAATAGAACAAAAGGTGGAGGAAGGAGGAATTTGCCTTCTTTTTCCTGCCTCATCTCTTGACCTGGGTCATCTCATCATCTCTAGTCCTTAGACTGGGATTTGCACCATCAACTCCCCTGGTTCTCAATCCTTTGGACTTGGACTGAATTACACTTTCAGAGGCATTTGAACGAGAGTGACTCCATCTTGCATAGGGGCTAGGTAAAATAAGGCTGAGACCTGCTGGGCTGCATTCCCAGGAGGTTAGTAGGCATTCTAAGTCACAGGATAAGATAAGAGGTGGGCACAAGATACAGGTCATAAAGATCTTGCTGATAAAACAGGTCGCAGTAAAGAAACTGGGCAAAACCCACCCATACCAAGATGGCGACGAGAGTGGCCTCTGGTTATCCTCACTGCTCATTTTACGCTAATTATAATGCATTAGCATGCTAAAAGACACTCCTACCAGGGACATGACAGTTTATAGATGCCATGGCAATGTCAGGAATTTACCCTATATTGTCTAAAAAGGGGAGGAACCCTCAGTTCTGGGAACTGCCCACCCCTTTCCTGGAAAACTCATGAATAATCCATCCCTTGTTTAGCATATAATCAAGAAGCAACAATAAGTATAAGGAGCTGAGCAGCCTTTGCAGCAGCGCTGCCTATGGAGTAGCCATTCTTTATTTCTTGACTTTAATAAACTTGCTTTCACTTTACTCTATGGACTTGCCTCAAATTCTTTCTTGTGGGAGATCCAGGAACACTCTCTTGGGGTCTGGATCAGGACCCCTTTCTGGTAACACCACCACCAGCTTTCTGCAGATGGCAGATTGTGGGACTGACTTCTTAACCTTCATAACTGCATGGCCAATTTATCATATTAAATCTTATTTTCATTGTATATATCTGCATCCTACTGTTTCTCTGAAGAACCCTAATACATTTCCATCTCTTTGCAGCTAGAATCAGCCAAAAACATAAGGAGACTCCACCAGGAGTGGGGAGTTCTTGAGAAAGCTTTTGCTTCTGAAAAAAGATAAAAGTACACAGGAGAGCTGTCTGGTGCCATTCCTTGAGCATGTGAGAGACTGTGTCACTGGAAGCAGCAGTTATCTCTGGCCATAAGTTGAGATGACTGGGTGAAACGCTAAAATGTTGAGAAGGTAGGACAAAAAGAAAGAACCGGGGACCCTGATGACATTGTTGAGGTGCATCAACCCTAGAACCATTATTAAGAGATTTATTATGTGAGATATTATTATTTACTGTTTTACTACTTGCAGCTAAAAGCGTTTCTAACTGTGTACAGGACTACTTTTAAACACAAGAAAGAATTTCTGGTGTTGAGGACTGGGTTATTTGCATTAACAACAATCCAATTCTTTGCGCACTGAAGTCTAAGTCACCCGCATTCTAAGGTCACCTACACAGATAGTGATGAAGCTGCTTCTAACTGGTCCATGTTTCTTCCACTCTATGGTACTAAAAACAAATAGAAAAACACTCACATTCCTCCCTTTTTACACACTCCCTGTGGCAATGTTGGTATTAGACATAGCAGAAAATAATAACTAAGAAAATAACCTGAAGAAAACATGTCTACAAGCTTTTTGTTAAGGAAAAAAAAAACCCCAATCTTTAAAGCACATATTTATTTTAGAAATAAATCAGAAATAATAGGCATATGGGGAGAAATGAGAGAAAGGAAGGAAAGCCAAGATAGTGTTCATTTTTCACATTAATTTCAAAGAACAAAATATGAGATGGGGGGTCAGGGGTTTCTGAAAATGCTCACCACAACCAATTTACACAACTTTTCAGAAATATGTTAACTCTGTATCAGAACACACTTTAATAATCTAGATATATAGAGAGACACAATCGGTTTGTCTAAAGAAGCTTCCAGATTTCCCATTTAGTGTGTCTTTTACCTTCACCATAACCCTAAGTCATCTCTGATAGTTCTCATTTTGGAAGTGATTCCATGCATGGAAAGTTGTGTGTGGGCTCCCTAAAGAGAGTAGCTGCGTCCCTTTTGTTCATTGGCCTACCCATAGCCTGCAGCACAATGCTTTGAACATAGGGACTATTCAACCAATGTCAACTACAAGATCACAGAAGGCCCCTTATACTTTAGGAATGTGTGTCTTGTGAGACACCTGGGATATATCGCTAGCTCATTTTCTCAGACAAAACCCAAACCACAGAACAGTGACATACTTCTGTAAAGGTCACAGGGTGAAGCAGCTCTCTCCAAATTTATTCCTGTGCACTTTTCCCCAAGTTTATTCCCAACAATGCTTGATACACTGTTCTTTAAAACCAGCCTCAGACACATCTGTTCTATGAAGACTAAATGGAACAGAGAAGTAGCTATTTACTCTCAACAAACAACATTCTGCCATTTAAAAGGAAAAAGTGAACTTTGTGGGTTCCTGTTGTATTATTAGGATTTAATTTCCTTCAGATGGAGATGTGTAACTGATATTACATATTATATACTGTACAGTCACTAATATAGAGAGATTTAATATGCATTCACTATGACAATGCATCAGAGAACATGGTTTTTTGTTTGTTTGTTTTGTTTTACCCTTTTATCTTCATACCCCGGTTTAATGTTTTGCAAAAAGAATCGGCATTTCATTAAATATATAAATAAATAAAAGACTGGTTTTTCCAGATTCACTAAACAGGTGTTGCTTAAGGCAAAATTTTTATAAACTAAAAACAAAACAAAGGAGTCAGAACTCAGTTTCTATAACTGTTCCAACATGAAAAGGACTAGTTATTACCTTAGAGGAAATGTCTTATAATGAATTGAAGATTTTTATTGAATCTGAATTGGTCTCTTGCCCAACACTAATACTGACATTTTTCCTGCTGAGTTGCAATTGACAATTCACTTTTGGAAGAATTTATGGGAAAATATAGCATTATTCTATTTCCCGACCACAAGTTTTGTTTTATTTCTCACACTATATAGATGATGAGTCTCAGAGAACTGGGGGCTTCTTTGCTCCTTGATGGGGAAACTCAGCTGTGTGCTTCATGCAGGGCTGTCCATAGCCTACAGCACATGGCTTTGAACATATGAGGGGGTGTTCAACCAATGGCAACTGCAAGATCCCAGAAGGCTCCTTACACTGTGGGGACTGACGGCCTCTTATTCCCCAATAACTCCTGTGGTGTTTCCAGCTTCACTCTTACATTGGCAAGTAGGCATGGAACGCACCAACTGCAGTGCGAATGAACTATGCACCTTATTACTTCAAACATTGAAACTCTGGTATTAAAAAAAAAAATTTTTTTTGAGACGGAGCCTCGCTCTGTCACCCAGACTGGAGTGCAGTGGCGCGATCTTTGCTTACTGCAACCTCCGCCTCCCGGGTGCAAGTGATTCTACTGCCTCAGCCTCCTGAGTAGCTGGGATTACAGGCACGCAGCACCACGCCCGGCTGATTTTTGTATTTTTAGTAGAGACGGGGTTTCACCATGTTGGTCAGGCTGGTCTTGAACTCCTGGCCTCGTGATCCACCTGCCTTTGCCCTCCCAAAGTGCTGGGATTACAGGTGTGAGCCACCGCGCCTGGCCCATTAAATTTTTCATGTGAGAAGATATACTTGTTATCATGAACACACAAGGGAGGGATTTGATGGTAGCCAAGCATTGAGGACATGTGAGTTTGTGAGACTTGAAAAACTCTGGATACCAACATCTGATCAAGTGGAAAATTCATATGCCTAGCAAAAGTGGCCCCTGTGACTGGTGAACTTGGTGGCACTGACATTTTTTCTTTAATTGCATTGAAAGGGGATGGATCAAACAAGCTTCAGCATGTTATTTAATTATGAGATCTGTTTTAAAATTTAAGTGAAAAACCAGGATATCTAGAAGCAAGTTATAGAGAATGCAAAACCTATTCCCCTTTAGGTATTCAGCTTGATGCGCCAAGTGATATTAATGGCTGTAGTCAGCTGTTGTTATTTTTGCAGTATCTAAGGGAGAGAGCATATATGAATTCTTCTCTTGTGAACTGCTTCAGTTAACTACGAAAGGAATCAATGTGTCCAATCTCATTCAAGATTTCTTTTTGAAACATTAGCTAATACTTCATGTGTGTGGATCAATTCTTACTGAGGGTACCTCCTGCTATGCTTGGTAAAACATCGAGCTTTGCTGCCTAGAATACAAAATAAAAATAAATAAAAATGAGTAGCTATTTGTATAATGCACTATTGTGCACTTGCTGCAAGAAGTTTACCTGCAAAAACAAACAATGTTCGGTCTTCTTTATAAGGTAACAAAAACTCCACCAAGAAAAAGATCCAAAACTTTGCCTCTTCATGATTTTTTTAAAAGGAATTGGTAAGCTGGCACATCCATTTCCATATAGAAATTAGGTGGCTCCCCACTGCAACATGTTTATTTTGCAGCTAGATGAAGTTATGAAAATTACTGAAGCACTTCTCTCTTTCATCCTTCTGAGAGGGTAGTCTTCCCTTAAGTTGTCTTGGGTGCCCATCTAATTGAAGAAAGAAAGAATGCAAAAATACTATATTTTTCCGATTCTGGCATTAAAAAATAAGATTATGCAGGGAAAAAAAAAAAAAAGACTTTCAAGTCAGATTATTTCCTTGAGAGATTTCCCAAATACTCTGTCTCCTCTTTAACATAACACAGTCTGAGCCTGGAGAATCCAGCTTATGGAATTCTCCTGTGGGCTAGAGGAGAAACCTTTGCTCCCTATGACAGCAAAGCTTCAAGACCTGCTGCTACATGGCAGAAGATATGACATTACAAAATAGACAACCCACCCGTTTTTTTCCCTGAAGGATGGTGGAAGAAGGAAGCAGAATGGAAAAGAAGAACTAGGAAAGCCAAGTACAGAGATGATGTGTGTTCCAAGCACCACCCACCTTACCCCACCCCCGCCCTACCCAGCTTAGAGGACTGAGGAAAATGCAGAATTAGGGATGGGTAGGGCTGCTCTTGTCCTAGTTCTCCCTTTGGGACTGGGGGGGACGGCCTCATAGGCTGTTCTGCACCACTCAGAGAGAATCCATGTCACTTGGCAGTACGGTAGGTCAGGAGAAGATTGTGGTTGCCCCATGTGGCTCTGTGGTATTTACATAAGATCCTGCAGCTGCTGAGTCCCTGGTGGGGAGTAGCCCAGTGGGTGTTGTTATAGTGGCAGTGGGGTGCCCTGTAGAGAGCATTATAGAGTGGGTCACCAGGCCCAGGATTAGAAGTGTCTGTAGCCCTCGAGGAACCAGGACGGGGCTGAATCAGTCAAGGAGAGATGAGATGACTGAGTGGCCACAAAGTCTTCCCACCCCCACCCTATCCCAGATGAGCCCAAGCTCTAACCAAATGAAGAGCAAAGAAAGAATGATTTCTTCTCAGGGACCGCGTTAATGATTCCCAACCATCAGCATTGAAGAAGAGGTCTGGAAGAATGTGAAGAATGCTAAGGCTTGTGTGGAGGATAGAGGGGAGCATAAAGATAATCCACAGCCTGCAGGCAGGGACTTCATGGACACTCTGCATGCTGCAGCAGCCACAGAATTCAGCCACAGGTGCCAGCTGGGCGAGTACCAACCAGGTGGATTAGGTCCACCACCCAGAAGATGCATAAAAAACCACACCTGTCCCCCCAGCTCCACAGAAGCTATCTTAGGGAAGAATCAGTGGGGATACTCAAGATCAACAGTGTGGAAGGCTCTTTTTCTGTCTTTTCTCCAAGAGCTGAATATTATCTGAAGAGATTACTTACTAATTGGAACTAAGATTTCACCCAGATAGGGCTAAAAGTTAGAGATTTTTCCCCCCACTACTAGAGATTTCAGAGAGAAGTTCACAACATTTATAGATAAAAATAAAGGAGCATATCTCAATTGTGGTATAAGTTAAATTTGTAACTATTATATTTGCTTTTGAAAGCCATAAAAGTCTGCTTATTTATAACCAAATAATGCCATAGTTGACAATTTTAAAAAATAGAAAGTTTATCCTTTACCTAACATATGAAGTAGCTATATTCAAACATGAAAATGAACACAACTAATTCATCTAAATATTGATCTAATAAGAACATGGTGTGACCAGAGAGAAATTATTTGCTCTTATAAGAAGATTTTAGTGGGGGATAAAGCACATTGAA